ACTGTTGGGATCTTAGTCTGTAACATATTTTTGAGGATGATAAGAAAGTTTGTAAGTTAAATTTCCAAAGTAAGTCGTAGCTTAAGCACTCAAATATCTGTAGTGGACTAAAAGTTTGATATTTTCCTCTGGAGTTTGGTGGAGTAGAAATATAAAGCTGTGTAAAAGTGCATCAAATTTTGTATTTAAGTACACTGTAGCACTTAGTTTTCTTTACACCACTTCTGAACTATATTATCCTCCATGCTGTGATGTCTAATGTTGTCACGTCAGATGTTTGGTGTCTCCGTACCTGCCCAGCTTTGGCGTTTTCACACACATAAGCCTCCAGGTAGTGTGTCAGGGAGGGAGGGTTATCGTTCACATCCAGGATCCTCACAGCCACCGACGCACTCGCGATCTGTGTGGGGTTGTCTGCAGGAACACACCCAAACATTCAGTAGATGCACACATTGGTCAGGAGCTGTAAGATGCACTGATGGACTCAGATAAATGACTCTTCGAGGATCCCGCTGAGCTCAGTTTGTGCCTCTCTTAATCTTCCCCTCATTTACAGCGAGCCTGCGGCACATTAGAGCTCCTTGCGCTCAGATTACATTTCTATTATTCTCCATTACCAATCAGAAATTTGCATATCTTAACCAGCTGTGTAATAGGCACTAGAAACGCAATTAGTGGGCAGTAACTACTTTCTCAGGTTCCATCACATGATCGATCAATCAAAGGTGTGACTTTGGCTCTGGAGGTCGAGGCTCCCTGCGGCCTTGTGTAATTCTGTAAATGTGTGTTTGAGGGGCAGAAAGAAGTACTTAAATCTCCAGCTCGAGTGAACGAGCTGTAACTTTGCTGACGTTTCACCTCGGTGAAGTGAAGTCAGCGGTGTGAGAATCTATGCGAGTTGAAGTACAGGACGAAGCAGCTCAGTTCAAAATGTGAATATTGATTAAATTGCTTTAAACAAATGAGAGTTTGGTTCCACTGACAATGTGAAAAGGATGAGAGAAGATAGTTTTAAACAGGATTATTTAATGAAAGAAAGAAGAATTTAAAATGTTATTCATAACACCTGAGGTTTCCTACTGTGCCAAAATGTCTGCTATGAAGCAATGACAATTTTCTTAATTTCTCCATATTGTAAAGTAAAAGTAAAAAAGAGTTACTTCAGCAAATCAAATCATATTTTATTCCAGCTAATTTTCCGCCTCCGCACCGTTTCTGTCACTGCCCTCTCGCCCTCGCAGTCTCCGTCACACCTGTAATTATCCACCATGCGAAAAAGTTATTCAATTAGTCATTAATTCAATTACCACCTCCTTTTAAGTGTGTCTACCAAGCAAACAGACAAACAAAGCAAAGGGAGGGGGATGAAGGTGACTTTCGGTGCCACCAGCTGTGTGCAGATCTGCAGGGCATCTCCTGCTCTACATTACGCAACTCTGCAGGAGTTGTTTTCCAAAATCACTGCTTCTCTATTTGTGCAAATATATTCACCCATCTGTTTTTTTCTGATCTTTTTGTCACCATGAATCCCCTTCTCATCAAGTCAAGTTTGCCTGTAACCTTAAAGCCTAACTCCAATTAAAAAATACTTTCTGTTAAGAAATCGGTGTATATAATTGAGTCGAGTTTAATCAATAGCACCACCTAGTGGGAATCAGGGCTAATAAAATGTATCTAATTTCCATTTACCGAGTTGTCCTAGCTTGCTAACTTCTAATTTCTAAGTGGAATTCAAACTCAACAGCACCATGGGTTGTACAAAATGTCTAATGTTGTAAAGGGAAAAGTTGTCTGTAATATAATTTAAATGATGCATAACCAATGATATGCCAACTTATTAGTTCACCACAGATGTTGAACATGCGTCTCTTTCCGCAAATATGTTAAACACAGAAGAATATGCACAATGACTGCAGTATCATTTGAGTTTACTGCATATTATTGCACAAAAAGAGAGTAGAATAAAAATGTAAGCTCCATTTTAAAGCCAGTGTAGAAACGTTTTCCTAAAATCAAGCTTAGTTTTGTTGATTTTAGTGCAGCGATGTGCCATCTTATTCTTGGTTTCAGTACGGACACAGGCTCAGATAGATAGACAGGATAGATTCTATCTATCTTTGATTACTAGAAACAGATTGAAATATTTTTATCGTCCTGGCATGAAATAGGGAAAAATATGATTTTCAGGACTCAATTATAGGCAGAAATGACTTGATAAGGTGGAGATTTGGCGTGAGAGAGCCTGTGTGTGTGTGTGTGTGTGTGTGTGTGTGAGTAAGTGTGAGACTTACTCATCTCCATGGCGAGGACAGTGATGTTGTGCCAGCCGATCTCCTCTCGGTCCAGTGAACGCACCGTCATCAGCGACCCGGAAGTGATTTCGATGTAGAAGTACTTCTCGGGGTCAGTGGACCTCTCGATGGAATACCTGGAGACACAAAATGACACGTGCCATGTGAAGCATCTGATTTGCACTTTTTGTGTGTTTTCCGGTAGCTTGTAATCCTATCGGGGGGGGGCATGTGCAGCCTGTGTGTATCAGTGCGATAAGGCGTCAGACTGGCAGCTTCTGAAGGCACAATAAGAAGAAGAGGCTCCAGATAAGGCTTAATCAGAGTATCTGCCTCCTCTGCCAAACTGACGCCGGGGATACACAGACCTGCAGCGTGCCACCTCGCCTCTTCTCCTGCCACCGCCGGCCGCTTTCCAAAACACTCTTCTGAGAGCGACATGCAACACACACACACACAGAAGAGGAGGATGTAGAGCGCATCCTCTTCCAGGCTGTGGAGCAGAAGCCTGTTTATGTAACCATGAGGTGTCCTGTGTTCACACAAGGACTGAATTCAACTGTAGTAGCTTCACTCTGCTCTCGCCTGGAAGGAGGAACGCTGTTTATGTTTGTCTGCATCAGAACAAATCACTTCCAAGAGAGGGGAAAGGAGGAATTGATTAGAAAATAATCAAATTGATTTATTGTTTTAAGTCATCTACCAAACAAAAAGTGCCAATCATCCTAAGAGATTTTTCATTTGCATATCTTTGAAATTGGGAAAAAACCAAAGATAACACCTGACTCGATGCAATGGACATTTGTCCTTCTTCTTTTAAAATGTATGAATTTATTAAACACTGTATCTAATAAAAATAATGCTGAGTTTAGCAAATCAAGTTCTTCTAACTCCTTAACTTTGGTCTTTGGGGACTTGCAACTGCGTCTATTAATAGATAATCAGCATTAATCGCAATAAGTGTAGATTTATTATGTGAATATAGCATATTTCAGAATTTTCGAAACTTTAGAAAAGTTAAAATCCTTTACATTGTGACTGTGAGCAATAACATATGTTATCACCACTTGCAATTTAAAGCTACAGAGCAGATATTTTTCTTTTAAGTTTAAAAAATATGCTTTCTTTAGAATTCTTAAAAAGTTTGAAATGTTTTCTTGTTTTCTTCTGTGTATGTTATTCAAGAGATTCTCATTGGGCAGATTGCTCTTTCTCATCACATATTTTGGCCTGGATGGTTTTTAGGGTTTTTATCTACAGATGACACCTATATTTATTACAATATCTAATATTAGGCAGAAGTTGTGCTAATTCAGTCTTTTGTGCAACAGATGTGTAGTCTTAAACAGCATTAAAAGCATCACAAAACACTAAAACTCACCATTCAAAACCAATAATCTCTCTTTTTTTATATATTTTAGAAGGGACCTGATAAGATTTTACTTGAAGGGAAAGTCTGGAACAAACTCAATTCCCTTTAAACGACTAATTAACATAAAAATAACCATTAATTGTTGAATTAAAGACTGGAATTGGCACACAGATATATTAAAGTCACTGTAGCAGTAGTGTGTGTGCGTGTATGTGTGTGTTCCTGTCCCTAGGGTTGTTTGCAGTGTGTGTTTCGGACTGTGTGCTGACAGGGAAGAGTCGTGACTGGCAAGGATCTCCCTGAAGGATCTCTATTAATATCACTCCTCCAGTGTCATGAGGAGGGGCCACTGTGTGTGTTTGAGTGTGTGTGTGTGTGTGTGTGTGAATGTGTCAAATAGCAGGTGAAAAAGTGTGTGTGTGTGTGTGTGTGTGTGGGAGCCACGTGCTTGTGTGGGTTCAGATGTATCTGCCAGTCATGCTGCTGTCGGTAAAGGACAGAAAGATGTAAAATGGAAATGAGACAAACAGGCAGACTGAAGGTCACCTGCTGCTTGTTATCTGTCATCTGATGTTGTTGTTGCTGCTGCAGTATCTGGCCTCAGCTCTTCCCTGTCACCCTCAACTGATTCCTTTAGCTATCTGCTACTCATGCTGTAACTCTCCTCGTGCTCCAAACCGGCTTTTTTGAAAATCTTTCACTGATTCGTTGCCAGGATCAAGCGCCAGCTCTGGGGATTCAGATTGGAGCTTTAACTGCATCAGCGGCTGACTGCTCTCATTCCCTCTTCAGGAACGAGAGAGTTGTTGTGGTTAATTGTCATCAGCGGAGCTCCTCAAGCATCAAGGAATTTAGAGCAGTGGTTCCCAACATGGAAAGAACTGTCAGTTTTTATGAAATTTCAATTTAGAAACTAAGAGAACTTTTTTATTACTTTCACCTTTGTGTTTGTCTTACTGTATATTTGACAGCACTGCAGTCAAGACCACCTTTGAGAAGTCCAAGAACAAGACTAGTTGAGACAAAGCCAAAACCGAGTCCAAAGAGGTTTGAGTGCAAGTCAAGACTGAGTCCAAATGAGGGAGACGTTGCCAATGAGATGAGTTTTGGCCGCCTGATAACCGTGTTTACCGGCCAATGTCAAGGCCCGCTCTAGATGGATTTTTAACAGTACCAATTTTCTAAACTTCATCAATGGTTTTGTTTTGAAGGAGGACTCGGTTGAGACCAACTAGGATATCTGGCGATGCCAATGGCCAAGTCCAAGACAAGTTTGTGAGCTGAAATGGGCACCAAAACTGGAGCCAGGCAACATAACCGGGCTCAGCAGCCTCAGATGGCAGAGGCAAAGAGACCAAGGAAGCTAAGAAGTGAATAAGAAAGAGTGACATAGAAAGAGGCCGTCGGACAAGAGCGTGGGCGAGGGCTTTGTGTAATAGACAGCTGGCTGGCCTTCTTGCTGTTGGACTAGTAAGTAACATTAGCTGGCTTGCTATGTCTTGTGTTATTGCACTTGCTGCACTTGGCTGTGTGAGCAAAACTGTCGACAGAGTAAGTAATGGAATCATAACAAATGCACGGATACAGCTGTTCATATTCATGCACTCTGAAACGAGGGCGCCAAATCACAAAAAAACACAAATGTTGCTTTAAGTGTAAGTGTTTGCTCTTACAAAATGTCCACAATGGAACGAAAAGTAAGGCGTCGATAGCACATGAACCACTTTTTGCTAAAAAATCCAATAATGCAATGCTTTTAGAAGGGTGTGTGACACTTTACCTGTCAGGGAAGGTGACAGTGATGAGGATTTAAAGGTGCAATGTATGAACGAGGAAGGAATTTCAGATGCAGCACTCGAGATAAACTGCTGCGTGTCCGTGCAGACAGGGCAGCAAACACGCACACACGAGCAACCACCATATCATCTACATCCATTTCCTGTGCCACTACTTTTAGCCCTAATCGAGGTTGTAAAAAGGACAGCTGGGACCGGGTACAGCCGGTGCCATGTGAAACACTCATTTACTGCCGCAGTCATTGATTCCTTCAGATGATTAATAGCCTAATTAAAGGCTTTATGTCTAATTAGTTTATGAGAGGTGCAGTCTGGACAGTAAACCCAGCACGCAACATCTGTTCTGTTAGGGCACAAAACATACTATTCAGTAATTGAGAGAAGAGAAAGTCTTCAGCTTCTGGGTGCTGACTAATTGCTGGATGTTGAGACCTGTCAGAGTTGGTATTAACATTATTATGTTTGTCCTCCTCATCCTCGTCTTCATCAGTATCAGCTGTCCCACGATGGACCCCCTTTAAACACACGTTGAGCCTGAGGAGTAGCCTGCTAAGAGGGGTCATGTTGTGCTGCTGCCTCCTGCTGGTGATCAGGTAACATTACATCTATAGAGCCCGAAAACACTGCCTGCCAGCTTGTAGTAAATTACTATTATTCATTTAAATCAGCTAAATGTAATGTTCTAATAATATTTCATTTGCTTTACTCACATATACTTTATCAGCATCACAGCCTTTCCCAACATGCACTGGGAGAAATACCCACTCTCATGAAGTTAGGTACTTATACTCCCACCTGACTTTTATGTGTTTTCATGAATGCATTATGTTATTGGCGCTCATTTTATTTGGATATTGATGAGACGTATTCTGAAATTAGCTGTTATCATAATAAAACTTAATGACAGCAGCGAACAGCAGCCAATTTATTTTTATTGTTATTGGCATTTTTAATTGAAGGAGTTGTCAAATCCCTATGATCCTTTTCACGAGGGCCATATTTCCTTTGTTTGTCACCTTGATTTAATTTTCCTACAAATTACAGGTGCAGCAGCTCATGACGGCAACACTGTTGGGCAGCCAGCTCTTATACCTGAGACTTCAGACCCTCACAGCTGCACTTGTATCCGCCATGTTTCTCTTGCATTTCAATAGTAACATGTATTTACTGCGATGGTTTACCTGGATAAAGTAAGGGTAGGGTAGGTTGAATACAAGGAGCAAAGCTAGATAAACCACATGAAGTGTTGTTTCGCTGTTTTCCTCACCTCACAGTGTTGTTGGCAGCATCGGGGTCCCTCGCTGACACCGTCTTCAGCACAGTCCCGATCTCAGCGTCCTCTGGCAGCTCGATGTAGTACGCTGGCGAGTCGAACAGCGGGGGCTCGTCCACGTCCTCCACGCTCACGTGCACGATGGTGACGTCCTTGAAGGGCCCGCGGTGGCGTAGGGAAGGGTCCAGGTGGATGTTTGCGCCCTCCACCTTCAGAGTATAACTGGGCTTGGTCTCAAAGTCCAGTGGCTGTAGGATGAACCCACATAAAGACATTACAAAGATGAAACCTTTCTGCTGTCTTTGGCTACAATTAAGTTGTGCTTTTCAAGAAACACTTGAATTTGTGCCAGTTTGATGTTAAAGAAAGAATCTCCTGCAGAACTTAACATGCATTGAAGTAACATTGCCAGGACAATCTGATGAAGGATGCTAGGAAACAGCAAAAAGGTGAAGAGATTAAAGGATTTCTTCAAAAAAGTGAAACGAATTTACCAAAAAAAAAAAAAAAAAAAAACCCACTAAGAAACAGGAATGGGTTGTAGACAGCAGTTATATATTATGTCATGTTTTTCCCTCTTAATGCAAAATTAAATTGCAACATTTCTGAAGGGAATTTTGTTCCTCTATGATAAAGGAGCCCTTTAAAATTTACATAAGGGTTGTAAACGAAATAAATACAAAAAGAGCTGAAATGTATTATAAAACACAGGTTATATTAGTTAAGCATATATCTTCAGCCTCAAAGTGAGATAAATACATAAACAACATAAATAACCTATATTTATTAACTATGAGTTGTGACACAGACAAACATAGATTTATATTTTCTTCATTTATCAGTCTGCTTGTGTACCTTTTTCACAGAGATGATGCCAAAAAGGTTGGTGGGGTCGGTGCTGATGTCAAATGTGTCCCTTCCATCTCCATCGATGATGCTGTACTTCATCTCAGCGTTGACCCCGATGTCCCTGTCCTTCGCCCAGATCCGACCCACCACTGAACCCACAGGAGCTGACTCTGGGACGCTCATCTGATACAGCCCTGAGGAAGCAAATTAACAGAGTGATCATCCTGTCACCTTTTCCCCCATCTGTTTTTCTTTTTTTTATCCTCTAGAGGGAGCCAAACGTCTTCCATCACCTCTATGGCAGCTTTCTTCTCTCAAAATCACATTCTAGACAGCTTAAAATAAATGGCTCCATAAACGCCTCACAATTGGGTTATATACTGTCTCGCGGGCCGGCTTCAATTTCATCTACCGTTTAACCTCAAAGAAGAGGTGACAGCTGCCCAATTTGTGGCACTCCCTGCAGTCCAAAGTGAAATGCCTGCACATTGTGCTTGACAGAGGAGAATCCCTGAAGCTCTTCACAACCGATCAAAGTTCTATCGAAGTGATGGCGCTAATTGGGGGACTAGTGATGGAAGTGAAAATGGGCGGTGGCGGCGGGTGTTTTTCTTTGTCTAGGAGCGAAGCCACCCGCCGGGCAGGAAGAGATGACCATGGACAGCTAGACAACCCCTGACCTCCGGGAGACGGTAATGAGAGGAGCAGAAATGGGGATAATCAAAGAGACAGCACGGGGCGACTGGTGTCCGAGGGAGGAGGCCAGGGGGTAAATGACCAGGGACTGGTGGCCAAAAGTGGACAGAGGGAGGAGGGCAGAGGGGTTAACAGCTTGCATGCTCCAGAGAAATGAGGTGGATAGATGTAGAGCGACCCACAGAAAACAGTAAACTACCGTGGTGTGTGTGTGTGTCACTTTGAATGTAGTAGAGTTCACACATGGCTTGCAGATGCTGCGGGCCCATGTTTTAATGCATGTGCCACACTGCTGCCCCACATGCAGCTCAAACACACAACCACAAGTCAAGTATCAATCCTGGAACCAAACGACGCGCTGTTTTTGAAATTTGAGTGAACTTCGGGGTCATCTGAGGGCTTTGACCCTGTGATGTGTTTCAGCCGCAAATGTGAGCGTGTAGGGCTCAGTACGATACAGGATTCACTCATTATAATTGAGGGTTCCTAATTAAGGGAAGGGAAAACATTTTTTAACAGTGTTCAAATAAAAACACTCAGCTGTGACTATGAAATCCTTGGGTGCAAAAAGAGCATTTTTCCCCATAGGTTTTGGTGTAAAATGCAAATAAAAGGATCCCTTACATAAACATAAGGGTTTGGTACTGTTGGTGGGAGATAATAAGACTGATTAACATTAAGAAAGAAAGAGAATGAATCGATAATGAAAATAATCCTTAGTTGCAGCCCTCATGCGAATGATAATTTGTCACATTTAGTTGATGTTGAGATCAATTTTTCAGCTCCATGATGCGTTGAGTCCCATTTTTGTATTGTTGTATATCATACCATAATATAGCCTTCTGCCTCTGGCTGCACTGTTTCTCTACAGTTGAGAGAAACTGTCCACAACTTTTAAAATGTTTTTTATCTGTAAGAGTATCAGGAGAGATCCGAGAAAGAAAGGTGATGTGAGTTCAGGTCGAGCGGGGAGGAAAGTGAATCAGGAAAGAAAGTAAAATGTGAGAATAATAAGACAGAAAGGAGGAGCTGTTGTCCATCTCTTACTCTGGTCAAACATGGGCGGGTTGTCATTGATGTCGCTGAGTGTGATGTTGACAGTGGTGGTACCAGCGAGCCCCCCCAGTTGGCCGCCCATGTCCTTGGCCTGGATGACCACAGTGTAGTTTTCTCTTGTCTCCCGGTCCATATCTGCCAGGGACACGCGGACCACGCCTGAGGGGGAGAAACCAAGACACACAGAGAAGGAGAGAGAGTGTAAGAGAGGGCGAAGAAAGATACACGAGGTGAATTAAAGGTCAGCAACAGAGAGCTGGTGACACAGATTAGGGTCATGTGTCCACGCGATGGTGTCCTGGAATGTCAGCGCTCTCAATGAGCCGGACAAGAGGTTGCATGAGTGAATTATAATTAAACTTGTCATTCATTTAAAGCCTCTGGTTTAAACACAACTTCATTATTGGGCTGCAATAAAGAAAGGCATTGTGTCATTCTCTGCCTGCAAGAAATTAAAAATGGAGACTTCAAGTGTCATATGGACAGTCAGCTGCATTAACTAATGTTATGTTTTGCATTTCTAGCCTCGCCTTTAGTTGTGTATATTTATCACATGCACTTTAGCCACTTTTGTCCAAAGAAATACATTTTTTGCATGACAAAAGGCTTAATGGGAGTTTCTAAAGCAGTAATCTGGACCAAGGATACTTCAACATTTGGACAAGAGGAGCTAAGAATCAAACCTCCAATCCTATAATTAATGTTCAACTTGCTCTACCACCAGAGTTAGATGCGGTCTCCCTTTTTCAGGATAGGAGCGCTGAGATTTCCTGGTTAAAATAGTAGAATTTATTTATGTGTGATTGAGTTAGGATGGTTTTGTGTATGCGTGACAGACACAGGAGATAACATATCACTGTGACAGCAGTGAGGCAGCATGAAAGGATAAATCTACACTTGATGTGGGACACGCTTCCATCCACAATAAATAAATCCAAACTTTGACTAAAACTGACTATAAACTGACGGATATAGGCAAAATTGGTAGAATTCAGACACAGCTGAACTGTACGGAAAAACAACGGTACCCTAACCGGGCTACTGCAGTGCATGTAACGTACTAAACCTTCAAGGTCTTCCTGCTTTCCGTTCACTTTCCTTGTTGCCTGGATGGGATCTGGACACTATTATCAACAGTGCATTTCCGCATTACCAAAGACATCCATACATAGACAGTTTTGCCAGATGCAGCAGAATCCAACCAAGGTCAAGGGATGTTTTGTGCTGAAGAGTAAGAAAAGGAGTGCATGTAACAGTGCTCTGAGCTATATGTGTTAAAGTTATACACCGTGTTCCCTCCAATAAAAGCCTCAGTGCTGCGCTTATAGCCCAGTCAGGGAGGCTGATTGATAGCTGTAGAGCCACTCTTGTGTTTCAGTGATGGATGAACCTACAGCAGCAGCAGCAGCAGTCTGAGAGGGTGCTGATGGGCAGCGCAGCCTGAGAGGTTTGGCAACAGATTTCTGTGCTGACAAACAAGGAAATGAGGCAGCTGTGGTAAACAATGGCCAGTGACTCTTTGCTTTTAGGAGACTAATGGATTTTTGGAAGTGGTAGCTGGAGTTGTGAATGATAGTATGTGATGCAATGTTCCAATTAGACGTTAACGGTCAAGGAGTTTTAGCCCCTCTATTTACAAGTGTTGTATACTATTATGCTACCATCTTGCTTAATTTTTTTATATATTACACTAAAAGCCCACAAGTATGGGGGCACATTTGGAAGCCATGGACATTAATCAGCTACTAGAACAGCCTCCACCCTTCTGGTTTCAGTCTTTCCACCAGATGTTGGACTCCCTGGCTGCAGGGATTTGCTCCCATTCAGTCACAAGATTATGAGTGAGGTCCAACACGGATGTTGTCGCTGTAACATCAAAATTTCCTTTCGTTGAACTAAGGATGCCAAGCCAGGATAAACACTACCAGAAGTACACGTGTCCACATACTTTTCATGATAATTATCAGCATGTGGTAGTGCAGACTGATTTTAAACCAAAGTGTGGATTGATTTAAAAAGGCTGCTCTGCAATTTCTCAAATGTGACAGTTATGTCCCTCGTCATACATACAAAGTCATCTTTTGTGGGCTTCTTTGGGGATAATTGCAAAACAAATTGTTTCTTATACTCAGAGTTATTTTGTATTTTATTTCCCTGAATAAATGAAGATTTTCAGCTTCAGAACTGATGGTAGATGTAGTTTTTAACTTTGCTAAGCTCAGCTAATTCCCTCCTGGCTCCAGCTCAGTTCTTAATG